TTTTTATGGCTGCATAGTATTCCATGGTGTATATGTGCCATATTTTCTTTGTCCAGTCTATCACTGATGGGCATTTGGGTTGGTTCCAGGTCTTTGCTATTGTAAACAGCGCCACAACGAAGATATGTGTGCATGTGTCTTTATAATAGAGCGATTTATAGTCCTTTGGGTGTATACCCAGTAATGTGATTGCTGGGTCAAATGGAATTTCTATTTCTAGATCCTTGAGGAATTGCCACATGTCTTCCACAATGGTTGAACTAATTTACACTCCCACCAACAGCGTAAGAGCGTTCTTATTTCTCCACATCCTCTCCAGCATATGTTGTCTCCAGATTTTTTAATGATTGCCATTCTAACTGGCATGAGATGGTTTTGTTACAAACTTTTAAGATAAATTATGCTTTGATCAAAGAACATGGGTCTGTGTGATACCTCTTCTTTGAAATCTTTGCAGTTTCCCTGACACATGACTTTTATAAATATTCCACATGCACTTCAGAAGACTAATTATTACGTTCAAATCTTCTACATCTTTTCTTGCTTGCTTTTTTATTTCCTTGGCCTATCAATAGCAAGTGGAGGATTGAAATTGTCTGCTGTTAGTAATTAATTTGCTTTTGTAAATCTTTGCTTTATATAGTGTAAGGGTATTTTATTAGTTCTATAGACGTTTAAAATGATTATAATTGCCTATTTATTCCTTTCACACCTCATAGTAAAATGGAGTATGACGATGTATGTAGATAAGAATAAAAATTGTGTGTACATATATATATACATGAAAAACGATATATCTATCTCTACACATCCATCTGTAGTCAAATGTTTATCAGAGCTAAAGGTGGATTTCATTTTTCCTGATAATTACTGTCATTTGTGGTACACCCGTGACATCCTCAACACCCAGAAGCCACACCAAGTCTGGATGACAGCATGTGAAGAAACTGGCTGAGGGACATTCAGCTTCTCCCACTGAAAATAACAGCAGGAGGTGATGGAGATCGGTTTCTACCTTTGGTCTTACTGACTTCAAAGCATTTCACTAAAATATCATTTTTAAAAAATTAAATAGGCAATATTTTACATTAGACTGTCCTTTATCACCTGCATACAAATAGTACTGTTTAACAAAAAAAAGAAAAAGTACGTTGAAAAGAAAGAAAATACAGATAAGCTGTTACTGCTTAGAAAAACGTCTAAGAAACAAAGGAGTTGTCACATAAGAAATAAAAGTGATGGGTATTTAATAGGCCTAGCAATTAGAATCCGTCTGAAATTATCAGAAAATGCATGGAAAATGAAGGGGTAAAACGCTTAGAGTGGTAGGAACCTATTATCATCACAGTGGATGATTCCACAATAAAAATCTCTTGCTTTAAAGGCATTTTAGTACATTGCATTTAGTGTGCAATATATGGTAAATTTTATTTTATCTTTTTAAAGCCACTTTTAAAAGGCATTTTAGTACCTTTTCAGTAATATTCAAAGGATTTTAGTACATACTTATTTAGTTTGTACTATATGGCATTTTTTTCCACAAAGGGAGGAGGGGTTAGGATAAGTAGGAATATTTAATGAGATTGATGATGGTTTTAATGTTTTAGTTTGCTTATTTTAGACTAGTCTCTTTATTTTATATTCTAATGTTTGAAAACAACTCAATCAGAAGAACATGGCCTCCGCGTGTACCTTCCCGCTTCCTTCCTCTCTCCGTCTGCTGGGAGCGGCTTGGGAGAGAGGAGGAGCTGTGATCCTAGGTCTCAGGGTGTCTCTTTATTCCATTGACTTAAGAAAAACCCATGATGCAGGTAGCAAGGTGGGGAAGACCATGGCCTGTAAGCTCGCACATCCTCTAGTGAATACTCTTCTGTTCTTCCCATGACACCCTCATGCAAGGTTCTTAAAACTCCTTCAGAGTTAACATTCAAAAGGGAGATACAGAATAAACTGGTGGCTGTTCTCTTCCTTGAAGAGTCTCTTGTTTTTCACTGGGCCCAGGTTTTGCAAAGGTTAGGGTCACAGGCCTCACAAGCAGCAGCTGGCTGTCTCAAGACGTTGTCTGTCTGGGCCTCTGGCTCACCCTCCACAGTGGGGCTGTATGGTTTGAGGCTGACATTCCTCCTCTGGTGAGCAGAACCCACCTGCTAACTTCAGCCACCTAGTGAGGACAGACACACCACCAGCCACTGAGGATCGCCACCTAGATTAGGACTTCAGAGGTCAAAGTCCTCTTTATAGTTTGCAACTGCCTTGTCATAAAGATGTATGTAATCTTTGACTCTAAAAGTTTATGCTTTCTTGGCTGCTCTGATTTTGAAAGAAATTTAAACATTTTTGCAGGACTCTAAGAGGGCTGTAGGACCCAGACACCTTGTGCACTGTGACTAATGATGGAGAAGTCACCTGCAGCCCCGACAAGTCACATCTCAGAGATCTGATTTTTTAAAAGAGAGAGAGAACGTAGAAAGTTTAAAATTTAGAACCAAAATCAAAATTAAGTCTTACATACTTTACCCAGAAAGAGAAGACACTGGGTCTCTGTCTTGTTGACAGAGATCCTTTAAAATTAGAGTTGTATGGAAAAGCTCTTAGAGGTCCTTCCATTTGTCCTCTGCTTCCTGGAAGGATTGTATCACCATCTTCTTGTTCCTTTTGTTACTAATTTCCACTTTATAGTCACCATATTTTGCACCGTTTTTCAGTCTTTTTGGGGAACTAAGAGCCAGTGAAGTCAATGACTGTTTCTCCCCTGCTGGGGGAGAAATGACTGGAAAGAAGAAGTCATAGTAGGAAATAGGCTCCCTGATTATTTACTGGTTAGTTTTCTGTCCACAGCTCAGTGAGGTTCATTTGGGGAGGTTTAAATTCAATCAGTGTTCATGGCTCCATGTGTGTAGTGATCATAATCTCAGATTTGATGTCCTCAGATGACACACTGTCATGTCCCACGTGTCCATTCGTTCGTGGTGTCTGAGTGCCAGGGAGTGCTTGCAGCCTGGCAGGCACCTAATACCCTTTTGCAGCAATTGTGAACTGTGTCTGAGGGTAAGAGTAATAACTTAGGCACTTAATCATGGATAAAAATAGCAGTGGAGGGAGAGAATAGGAACATCGCATTTGATCCACTTGTTTTCTGCCAGTGCTGGAAACACACATTCTTTTGGTCATGGCAAGAACTGGCCCCATTCAGCTGAGCTCACTGTCTGCTGCAGGACCACAGACCCATAGGTGATCCCCAGGCTGGAGGCCTGTCTCACCCATCAGCTGGACAATCCATGGCAGTCCTTCACCATACCTCAGTTTCCTCAACTGTAGAATGGAACTAACCAACCCCCCACACCAGGATGGTGGTTGTAAAGGTTAAAGAGGTTAACATATATAAACCTGCTTAGCACAAGTAGCACTTACCAGCATTTACCACTCTTGTTATTCCTCTTACGTCTTTCCCAGGCATCATTTAACATACATAATTGTGAGAGAGAAAAGGAAATGATGTAAGTTAAGGGGGCTTGGATGCTGGTTCTTTCCCCTCCTTGGGAACCAGGACTCCTCGTGGATATTTGGCTGGTCTACTCTGTTTCCCCATCTTCCTGTGCTTCGTTGCTTGGTATCTGCATGGAGCCATTTCCAGTGTGAAGTTAGAGCTGCCCATGGGTGGAGTGAACCCTGTACCCACCTGTAAAGAATAGGGGTCACCAGACGGACAGCCCCTTAGTAAGTCCAGACATGGTCCCAGCCTTGTGGGTTTTTTTAATAGAAGTGTCTATGGATGTTTCCGTAACTAAGCGCGTCTGGGTGAGGATTAAAGACCGTACATTGTGTTCTGTTCTATAGTAAAAGCTGTCCGTAGTAAGCGTCCTGTACCATGTTTTGCAGAAGCTGAAGCCTGAGTCCATGCTTGTGTAATCAAATGAAACGTCATGTCTTTACATGGGGCTGAACTTGTGTAGAATTGAAATTGTGGGTCTTTTTCATGTGGTAAGAAAGAAATAAATAGAAAAAAATATTTGTGTGCCAAAATAAATGTAAGGAAATGCATTAGTAAGAAGAGAATGATAAATGCCCATTTTCTTTTGGCTTGTTTGTTTCTTTATGCTCTGTTATTTTACTTCCCCCACCTCTCTTGAGAGAGAAATAACAAACACAGCACCCTCACTTTCTGTATTCACACTTTCTGACCCTTTTCTATTAACCTATGATCCTGCCAAAACACTAATTGCTATGCAGTAAAATAAAAGCTCATCACTTTAAAGACTGAGATAATTTTTTTTAGAAGTTTATTAAATAAAACATTTAAAATCCATTTGGAAGATAGTTTTCTAAGGCCAGGATATTTCTGGTCCTCTGATTTAGGGAGGGAAGTTGGTTGTCTTATTTTTCCTGGCATTAATGTGTTCTTACACTCACTTCTGAATAAAATCCATTTCTGCATTTATATTGTTTCTCCTATTTTAAATATTCAACATTAGATTATCTATTTAGAAAAACATGTTTATTATGAAAGTTAAATTTTAAATGTTCAAGCTGTTCTACTTTCTTTTTTCTTTCTTTTTTTTTTTTTTAATTTTAGAGATGGAGTCTTGCTCTGTCACCCAGGCTGGAGGGCAGTGGCACGATCTCAGCTCACTGCAACCTCCACCTCCTAGGTTCAAGTGATTCTCCTGCCTCAGCCTCCCAAGTAGCTGGGATTACAGCCATGCACCAACATGCCCAGCTAATTTTTATATTTTTAGTAGAGATGAGGTTTCACCATATTGGCCAGGTTGGTCTCGATCTCTTGACCTTACGATCTGCCTGCCTCGACCTCCCAAAGTGCTGGGATTGCAGGCGTGCACCACCGTACCCAGCCCAAACTGTTCTACTTTCAAAACAATTTCTTAAACTCAATATATTCTGACATTGATAAGTGTTGATAACATTTTAACAACATAAATCATTGGTATCACAGTGGTATCTCCAAATGGTAACTTTTCCATATATTTTTTTTCTCTCCTCAGGAAGTTGAAGACCATGTGGCATTTTTAATAACAGTTCCAACTGCCCTGGCAATTTTCTTTGCGATATTTATCCTGGTCTGCATTGAGTCTGTGTTTAAGAAGCTGCTGCGCCTCTTCTCGTTGGTGATATGGATATGCCTTGTTGCCATGGGATACCTCTTCATGTGTTTCGGAGGCACTGTCTCTCCCTGGGACCAGGTAAGGTGTGAAAACATTTTTTGTACTTCTTTTATTGTGATATACTTAGTTCTGTAAACAATTCGGCCTTAAACTACAGAGAGGAGTCCTATAACTGATAACAGAGTCTTTTTAAAAAAAATTTATATTTTTAAAATTTATTTTTAATTGACAAATTATAATTGTATGTATTATGGGGTACAATATATATGTATTTATATCTGTATGTATGTGTATATGTATAGACGTATGTGTGTATATATATTTATTTATATGTGTGTGTATAATTGGATACATATATGTTTAATATAAGGTTAAATCAAACTAATTATCATATGCAACATATCACTTATATACATATTTTTGGTGAGAAGCTTTAAAATCTAGTCTTTAAGCAATTTTGAAATATACATTATTATTAATTAGGATCAGCATGTTATACAATAGATCAGTAAACCTTATTCCTCCTGTCTAACTGGAAGTGAAATAAGCCAGGCAGGGAGAACAGAGGCTTTTCAAATAGCTGTCTTTGACTCATGGTCAAAGTCACTCTGTCCCCAATTTAGCAGATCCATTTGCTGCAGCCAGGGAGCTGGCTGGGGCCTCACACTGTCGCTTGTTTGGGATAGCTAAGCTTCCATTTCTTACATCTCCAACCACGGTTTTGAAAACTTAGTCCTTCTGTTTCCGGAGTGCCTTGTCTAGGCTTCCTGTTTCTCCAGATTCCCTCTGGGATTGAAGCCTCACCAGGTGCCTGCAACCCTCCCAGACTGGTTGTTGCCCTTAAATTCCTTCTCAATTACTAGAGTTTTCCTAATTAAAGACGCTTCCTATGTTCGTGACATTGATTTTCCCTCCGCATGCTCACATGCTATTGAAAGGATTCTCAGATACCTGCTGAAAACCCCACATTTGTTCATTTTGCACCTGTTGAGGCTCTGGGCTTAGAAAATGCCTATGTGTGGATGGCGTCATACCCTTCGGAGAGTGTCATCTAACTCTTGGCTTTTTTCCATAGTGCTGGTACTATGTGGGTGGCTGCTCCCAGCATGTTCATCCAACAACACGATAAACAGTGTGCTGTCTAGGGGACAGGTCTAGGCTGAGGTGTAAATATACAAGCTACTAGCTTAAAGCTTGTCAACCAAGATGTAGAGTTTTGAAGCCATACGGGGAGAGGGTGACTACGTAGCTGAGAGGGCTGTCACAGGGTTGGTGGGGACGTTGAGAGTCAGGGTTGTGCCAGGACCAGGATCTGGAAAGAAATAGAGAAGCCGTGATGGGAGAGCCAGTAAGAGTCCACTACTATAGAGGTGAAGGAAGGAGGGCTTCCAGAGGGATGGGCGGAAGGGCTCAAATGCCATGTCAAGGGACAGAATACTGTTGGTGTGCCTCAACTGGAAAGAGGGTTCTGTTGGTAACTAGTCATGTGACCTCTGCCAAGCCATTCCTCTCTTTGTGCCTCCGTTTCTTGTGCAAAGGGAGGAGGCTGGACTAAGTGAACTCAAGTTATTCTTCCTGGCTCTAGGAGGACACTCCTGATGGACACAAGACCCGGTGGGCGGTATCATCTCTCCTTCATCACTCTCACACTGGAACCCCTTGGAAGGCTGGGCACAGGCCTCCCCACTCCCCCTCATGCTCCCTGCTCTCTCCTTCACTCTCTTTGCTCCAGATGCCACTTACACTCTGTCCTCCCCCACCCCATTAGAAATCTTCCATGTTCTTCACATGTACCCTAAAATCTACAATGCAATAAAATATATATATATATTTTTTAAAAAGAAATCTTGGCTAATACAATTAAACAAAATACTACATAACAATAAGGTAAGTTACAGACATAAAAGGGAGAAAGCAAATTCTAATTATCTGCAGATGACCATACTCTCTATACAAATAAACTGAAAGCCTCAGATTAACTAACAGAACTCAGAAGAGAGCCTGCCAAGACTGCAGGATCAACATAAAAACAGTAGTATTCGTATGCACCAACACTGGCCAGTTAGAATTATCTTTTTAAAAATTAACTCCCCCAGCGGCCTAGACGCCCTTTTGCGTGCATGCTGGTGCCCAGGTACTGTAAGCGGGAGAACAGTTAAGATCCTGCTGGTCTGTTGCCTGGATCTGGTGGTCTCTCCTTGCACCAAAGCCATCTTGTTTTAATGATACAGGTTTCTAGGAAGACTTACTATCTGGAAGGCCAAGTACCTCCTCCTTGTTTAGAATGTTTTTAGGTCTCTTTTCCTTATGAATCAGTTTGTCATCTTCAATGAAAAGTCCATTTGGGTTCTGGATTTAAATTATATTGAAGTTAAATTTTTACTATGAAAGATATTTAAAGCCTAAGAATTAATAAAAGGATGGTTTAGAAAACATCCAGAAATATGCTCTTTTTGCGTATAGTCTTTTCATCAAATGGCATGGCACGTCTCTCCAAGATTTCTGATTACTTTTTATGTCCTTTGAGACTCTTTTTCTTCTTCATAAAATCAGTAGTGATTTTCCTTAGACTTAATCTTAGGTATCTAAAGTCTTTTTATTTTTTCATAAACAGAATTTTTAAAATTACCTTTTCTAATTGGTCAGTGTTGATATATATGGATACAATTGTTTTTATGTTGATCCTGCCGTCTCAGTGGGCTCTTATGAGTTCTGTTGGTTAATCTGAGACTCTCAGTTTATTTGCATAGATAGTATGGCCATCTGCAGATAATTAGAATTTTCTTTCTCCCTTTGATATCCTTAATTTACCTTATTCTGATTTAGTATTTTGTCTAATTGTTTTAAGCCGGGATTTCTAATGCAGTGTGGAAGGACAGCCTAAGTGGCATCAGATGTTTAGGACAGTCTAAGTGGCATCAGATGTTTAACTTAATGGGAACATGGAAGATTCCAGTAATACAATGTTTGCTTTATCATTGTTACTATTTTTAGTAGAACCAATTAATCAGGATAAGGCGCCTTTGTCTGTCTGGAATGCTCTTGTCCACAGGTTGCATGTCCTGAGAACGATCTTTCCTGACCCGCACCTATCACTTCATCAGGCAACACCACTTACCTTGCTTGAGTGTTTCCATAGCACTTAGTGTGGCTTCTGGAACTTTAAATTATGGGACACATGCCTCTATTCATTCATTGAATGTCTGCTGCTGGAACATAAACTTCTGGGCAGGGATGTGACTGTCTCTCCAGTGTCCTATTCTCGCCCTTAGCAGACTGCTGTCCAGCCATCAGCAGCCTGTAGCTACTCATTTGATATGTACATTGACAGATGACTACATTTTCATCTTCAGGTTTGTTGTTTGTAGTTTAAACCCGTTTTTCTAAAAAAAAAATATATATATATATATGACATATATTTTGTGTTTTGGACACTATCAGCCTCCTTTTCAAAATTTCTCCCAGGATCATAAACATGCTTATTTCATAGTCATTTTACTGTCATTTTCTCAAGACTGACCACACTCAGGTATTGAATTTGTTGGCCAAATTTCTTGGTTTTAGCTTTACCTGTGTACGTTGGCTTTTTAGCGTTTAAGTACATCTTGAATTGGAATGTATTCACTTCTGCCCCTAGTATAACCCCAACCATTCTGTGGTTGTCTCTCCCACACTGCTGGGGCCCTGGATAGCGTGAGAGTCTGTGAGGCTCAGCCTGGGTGTTCCATGTTGATTTTGCAGGTTGGGAGGCCAGCCCAAGCCATGGCCTGGGGATGTTCCTGGGAGGAGCATAGCTGTGTCTGCTCGATCCTCTTACCCTGGGCATGGTGCTCAGAAAAGGCCACAGCCAGGCTCAGTGGCTGCCACTGGTTTTGACCACTATTCCTAAGCCAGGAGTGTTGGCAGGGTGTGTGCCTCAGGCAGTGGACCTGCTCATGCCCCTTGCCAGAAGACAGACATTGAGCTTTCTTCTTTCTGGATCCTGAAGTCCTTCCTGGCACTTCTAGCTGCCTTCCATTCTATGGCAATGGGGGTTTAAAATGAAATGGAAAGCTAAAGTCTACCTTCTGGTTTCTTTCCTTCTTTCTTTCTCTTTCTTTCTTTCCTTCCTTCCTTCTTTCCTTCCTTCCTTCCTTCCTTCCTTCCTTCCTTCCTTCCTTCCTTCCTTCCTTCCTTCCTTCCTTCCCTTTCTTTTCCTTCCCTCCCTCCCTCCCTCCCTCCCTCCCTCCCTCCTTCCTTCCTTCCTTCCTTCCTTCCTTTTTTGAGATGGAGTCTCACTCTGTCACCCAGGTTGGAGTGCAGTGGCGTGATCTCGGCTCACTGCAGCCTCCACCTCCTGGGTTCAAACAGTTCTCCTGCCTCAGCCTCCTGAGTAGCTGGGATTACAGTCATGTGCCATTATGCCCGGCTAATTTTTATATTTTTAATAGAGACGGGGTTTCACCATGTTGGTCAGGCTGGTCTCAAACTCCTGACCTCATGATCCGCCCGCCTCAGCCTCCCAAAGTGCTGGGATTACAGGCATGAATCACCATGCCCAGCCCTGGTGTCTTTTAATACAGACTCCACATATGTAAGTCCCTTAATGACCATTACCCATCAGGAAGTGTTGTGGCAGGTTCACTGTGCTTAAGAAAGCACTGTGCTTAAGAAAGCAGGCTACTTTCAGTATCCTTTAGTGTGGATATGGTTCCCACTGGAATGGTTCCCACTGGAAGATGGTAAAATTAACAACATAGTTGTAAAGTGATGCAGGAATGAGCCTGCTATACAGTCAGAAGGAACAGTCTACGCAAGACCACTCTCACTGCTGATACTAATTGCAAATTGGGAGGTTTCCAGGACTACCCAGAGATTGGAAGATTTTCTAGAAGAATTCACAGAACTTGTAACAGCTGTTATCACTGTGATTAGGGGTTGCCACATGGAGAGAATACAGAGGCACTTTGGCAAAAAGAAGAGCCCAGGAAAACCACCAGACGTGGTGGCAAAGGATATGGGTGTATCTCTCCCTCTCTGTCCAGCTCAGTTACACAACACAGCAAGGATCTCTACCCATAATTGCTGTGGTGCCCGCC